TTAACTTTTATAAAGAATATCTCTTTGGATTTGAGACTTTAGTCTTTGCAACTTTACAGATCTTCTTTATGCACCAAGAGCTTGTAACACTCTAAAGAGAAAGGAAAAAATGAAATCGCATCATATGACCCCTTTAAGATAACTCACCCAGAGGGATTTTGCTTTATTATCAATTAAACAATTAAAAACAAATTACATTAGTTATACTTTAATTTCCTTCAATAAAAAGGAAATTGAGTAAGACCGTGTAAAAGGTGTGTGGACGTGGATTAGTAATCTGGCCCCTTGGTATAAAGGAGAAAAAATGCTGGCCCTCGTCACTATCAAAGTTGCCCATCCCTGGTGTAGGGCGAGGGGAGATTTTCCACTAGTTAATTGATCGCGAATGGTTTCATCATTGAGCGGATAAAAAAAAAAAGTGTAAGAGGATAAAAATTATAAAAGCAAAAATGTTTCTCCGACTCATAGTTGGGCGGCCGTCCAAGTGAAGTCTATGTGTGGGAAACATTGCGGTGATGAGGCCGACACCAGCAGATCCAGTGCAAGTAGGCTTTAAGTCTGAATGTATAATTTTACTTAACAATATTTTATTTATCTGTTATATTGAAGAGACTTTTTTGAAGGATATTGGTTTACTTATGCCCTTTTTGAGCACTTCAGCTAAACTGAGACGTGAGTGTTTGGAGACGTTGAAGAGCCTGTTGTGACGACCTTGATTTATTGCAATTTTGAGGTGTTCAGTTTGTTTAGATTTGAGAAAATAAGCATATGATGGCTCTTCTCAAATCACCTGTTTCTTGTTTTTCACTCTGTGGTCTCTTAGGTGTTGAGGACTATATTCAGCCTATATTCAGTATGAGTTGCTTACAGTACTTAAGTACTGTTAAAATCAGATACTTTTTATCAGATAAAAGACTTTTACTCAAGTGGTATTAGAATTGGTGACTTGTAACTTGTAATGGAGTTATTTTCACTCTTAAGGTATCTGTACTTTTACGCAGTGGTTTTCAGGTACTCTTTACACTTCTGTTTACCATTTCAGTCAAGCTGATCAAGTTAATGATGTAATATTATGATTTTTCAGGTAAAGGACCATTTCCTGGGATTTTGGATACATATGTATTTAGAGGAGGTCCTTTTGAGTTGAGGGCAGCTCTGTTGGCAAAGAGAGGCTTTGCTGTTTTTGCCTTGGCTTTCCAGGGTTACCAAGATTTACCCAAAAGAGCTGACAAATTTCACCTTGAGTACTTTGAAGAAGGTATAGATTTTCTACGGCAAC